ATCTCAGAACGGAATACAGAATTATTTGCTATTTCTGACAATACGCCTTCAAAACAATCGGCTGCATATTTTCCAACTAAAAGGGCGACTATTCTTTTTATATTTGGAAAGGAAATATATCAAACCGCTCGTCCCCATGATATCTGTCTACGCCCAGCATAAAAATATGCGGCACGAAGGCAAGNTCCTCCGTATGATGAATATCAGCCCAAATTATGGAAAAAGGAATCCGCCATATTTATCCGGTAAAGCAAGGAAAAGGGATACCGGTGTTTGAGGCTGTCGATATGTTTATTTTCCAGGACAGAAGGCATCCGATTTATAACCGGATGTTGAGAGAGAACATATTGAATGTGCGTATTCGCTATGCGATGCAATCTGTACCGGTCGCTTCTTCCACTCGGTTTACTAAGTTTCGCATTGACATCACGCAAAGGTTAACTCGATAATCANATCGTTAAGTCAAAAAGTAACATTCAGAGGTTCTCTTCCAATCCATAACGTTGCTATCGAGAAATTACCTAAAAATATTGATTTAATTGCCGGTGGAATTGGCATTACACCAGTTTTCTCGGTTTTACAATATTTGCTATTAGAAAAACCTGACATAGACTTAACATTAATATTTGCTAATAAGGGTCCAAAGGATATCATTTTCAAAAAAAAGTTGGAAAATCTTCAGAAAAAATATGATGAGATTAAAGATGGTACACGTTCTTAATGACCCCCAAGACTTTAAAGCCGACTATTTACATAGTGGAAGATTAACTAAAGATGTGTTAGGTAAATACGTACGCCATAACAGCAACGTCTTTTTGGGTTGTCCTGATGGATTAGTTAACTCATTGGCAGGGAAGAACAAGAATAAAGGTCTATTAGGAGATGTCACAACAAATGAGGCTTTTGTGTTTTAAAATTGGTCCCTAAAGATTAAGCATTTTAATTCAGTGTTATTATGTTACAAATTTTTAGATTTAAATAAAAAAAAATAGACTAGCTCATTTAATCTCATCTTCTATTTAAGGTAATTTGAATTTATTTGTTTGGTTTTAAAAAGAGCCATGACATTATGGAGGCACTTTCAAAAGTGAATAAAACTACGATTTCAGTTTTTGTATGAGCTTCCACCCAATTGCAGGGTATAGTCTTTATCAGTGGATGNTATATCTGTCACAAGCATGTAATNTTCTTTAAAGCATACTCCAAGCAATTTCGTTACTATTCTTTTACTTAGCTGTTGATTAAAATTGCTTGAGAATATGTCTATTTGCAAAATATTTTGCAAATTGAATTCCATTTCAGAAAAAGTTTCAATTAGGACATTGTCTGTACCATGACTTGGGTACATATTATGTAGAGTATAAGAATTTAGCAAATTCCCATCAACACCCTGAAATTCATATTCGGTAAACGGCATACCACAAAAGAAGATGAATACTTTTTTCCATTCATCTGGATGATCTTTAGAGTACAATTTTTGACTTTGAGGTTCCAAATCTACGTCAGATATATTTTCAATTCCAAAAAAATTTAAACACCATTTCTGTATGTCTGATATTTTGATCGTACTTTTATTGAATAATGTTCTATAATTGAATTTGGTAATCTCAAGTAGATCAATACCAGTATCAACATCAATATCCATGTCCTTGTCTTCACCGCCGCCAAGCTAAAACTATTCAAAAAATAGTAAATGAGAAAAGTCGAATATTCTACAATTCATTTACTTTCGTCTGTATAACTTCATTGTCATATATAGGTAATTCATAATAGATGTGTATCTAATAATACTTATCTAGTACCCAATTTAAAGTTTTACATTTTTATCTTGAATCACATGAAGTCGTAATATTTGTGCCTTCTTGACTACTATTTTGTTTATTAATATTCAACTTCGTTGTTACAGTGACGATATTCATAGTTTTTAGTTATCATATTAATGGTTTGAAAATATATTGTTTAAAGATCGAAAATCACCGTTTTTACTCATTTCAGTTGCAGGATATTGTGATAGCCCAAAGTTAAGTAGCGAAATTTTACCTGAATCAGTTATATGTATGTTTTCAAGCCGAATATCATTATGCGAAATCCCTATCAGATGAAGCTCTTCGAGTCTTGACTTGATAACTCTGTACACTTCTTTTTTATTCCACTTAACCTCGACAATACGAAAAAAAAAAAAAATTTGGCTTGTACTATATCGTGTAGCTGTTTGTGAGCTGTTCAACCCATAGGCATGTGCAAATTGTTCTTTATTTACTTTAGGAAGTACCTGACGTCATGGTACTATTGAATCAAAACAAATCAACAAAGTTATCTATAATTGGCATCATTACATGTCAACATAAAACATACGTTTTCATTTTATAAATATTAATATATATATAAAAGTACATAATTAGTATCTTCAATTAATCTCTTTTTTTGATGGTTGATTATGATTATTGTCTTAAAAGCTACTTCTCATTATCCTCAGAATTTTACTAGAGATGATACGATGACACAATCATCACCTGTATGCAGGGTATAGAAATCACCTTAATTATTGGAAAATTTTGACTGAAATCAAAACCATGTAGTTTATTATATGCAATGCAAAAATTGACAGCTCTAGGCGAAAGTTTGACATATCAGCAATGTTTTTAATAGCGTTTTTTTATTGAAGTTTTTATTACCCTTCATACTGCACTTCTTTGCGAGACTCCTGGCAAGCAGGGTTATAATTGTTTCTTAGTTAATCAAACCATATTAAAAAACGCCATAATTCCATAATAACGGTATCAAAGTTTTGCTTGTGCTACTACGAAATATTATTATGTTCTTCAGTTTTATTGAAAGGAATGTTACTTAGTTTTTATATTCGTCGTTTACGGTTCATAAAATTTATCTCTAAACAAAGATGAAAGGAGGCTTGTAAATAAGCATTTAATTTCCCTGAAACCTAAAGCCTCAATTTGACGAAACGTAGATAAATGATCAACAAAACGGTTCACCATGGCTCTAAACGTATACACTTTTTCTTTCTAATGAATAAAATTCTCGGACATTAGAAATACAATATGTAACGTCCGAAAATTCGTATTAGAAAAATTTTCATCTATTTAGTAACTCATTATTGCATATAAATATTCAAATTGCAGATAGATAGCTACATTCGGCTTTTTATTTCATCGCGCAGGAAAAACTTTCGGTCACCAACCTCCAAGTCCGACCTAATGCACCTTAAACAATAAATAACCAGTGCATTGTAAAATTTTTGATTCTAATATGCTCAACATTAAATACCTTCTATAATTAGACAAACATTTTGTTTAACCACTCGGATAATATCGGATAATTGTTTAGGTCTATAAAAGAGCAATATTATAATTAAATTAAATATACTAAAAATTGACGACTCAATAATTATTATTCCTGCACATTTACTGTCTAATTAATAATTAGAGATAAAAGATAATTCGCTATTTTTCAACCATGAAATTGATTAAATTCAGCATACTTTTATTATTAACCAACTTATCCTTAGCGTTAGACTGGACACAATGGCTAACACTGAGTACTACTACAGCGCGTGGGACTTTAGCTATCACTGGGGCCGTTGCAGGCTGGGCTCCATCAGTAGTTGAGAGATTTTACGATAACTGCTGGCAAAATGGTTTAATGCCTAATACCAAGTATTACATACCACTGAGACAATGTGCAAAAACGCTAACTAGAGTCGTCAGCGAGTTATGTATTGGAGCATCAGCCTTAGGAGCAATCACTGGCTTTTGGAAGCGCGATGAAAATGTTATAAGCTACGCACCAGGCTTTTCACCTGTTACTATTGATTTTAAAAATAAGTTAGCAAAATGTGACGAAGATGTCACATTTAATGTAAGTGATGGAACAATAATAACAATGAAGTCCTGTGCATTAGGCGAGCAATATGAAGACAGCACTTTCTATTCTAATTTAATGGCACCACGTCTTAACGATACTGCCACACCATTATCGTTAATGCAAATCAACCCAGAAGGCAAGTTAGCCTTACACATAGTTAAACCACACAACTCTGTTCAAAATTCTAAGCGTGATTTTACAATAAGCACTAATGAATACTCATCGGCAGGTTCAGTGATCTTAGAATGTCAGTATACCTTCGGTGATGCTTCCTCTGCTTATGAAGCCTCAAATGACTGGGCAAATACTTTTGAAGCTGCCGGTGACGGACATATGATGCACTGGAGATACTATAGCCTACACGGCTATAATGGTAATGATAGCAGAATGAAATGCTGTTATAAAATATATGATCACACTGAAACAGTCAACGGTTGGCGTGGATGGGATGATGTTTGGTCATCATTTTAGATCGTTTCGAACCATTCCTATAACTGCAGTATTAAATAATCGTTGATTATGTTCTGCAATATATGTTTTCTGGGAATATCCTACCATGCATAATAGTGCAACAATCTCATACAAAGAATGGAAGCCTGATTTTGTTTACTTTTATGGGATCCATGACTTATCTCTTCATTAGTGCATAAACTAAAGTAATATAGTAAGTAGTTCATACTAGTTTAAATGAATATTTTTTCAACGCGCGGTTTTTTAGAAAAATCATAAAGTTTCGCTTTTGTATTGAAACTTTGGCAGTGAACTATGTGTTGCGTCCTCTCACTAAACTAATAATTCTTTATTATTTGCGCGGAGCGTGCATACAAGTCGCCGCTTCGTCGAGAGAAGTTGATGTGCTGTCGCTTTTCCACGCATAGCTAACCACAAGATATATATGAAAGCTATTGGGACCTTGACACAACTTTTGGAAAGTGGAACCTCGACAGTACGAAAAAAAAAATGGCCCATACAAAATTTCTAACTGTACATTTTGAGACTGGGACCATTCCGCCAATTTATGTATTAGAGTTTGTAGTTTAGTATTACCATGACGTAGAGTATATTCCACGAAGAATAGACCCATCTAGGACTTTTTCTTCAAAGTTGAAATTTTAGTTTTCATGTTTTTCTGATTCTCGCAAAAAATTGCAAGATATTATAAACTGAGAGAAATATTCCGCACATTTTAAAAATATGAAAGTATTATTCTTCTATTGAAATTTAGACATGTTATTCTAGACATCCATTGGATGTCTTCGTTGGAATATTGAGCCTATAAATGTTCGACATGTGTCATAATGATAACTCTGGAACGTTGTCATATCAGTTGTTTGTCCTTTTTCGCGCTGTGCTGCAAATAATAACTCCAATTTCACATGCATTATTCGCAAGCACACGATCCGAGCGTCGACGACAAATGAGTTGTTCTTTTCTGAAAATATTCAACCCTGCATCTTTGCAACAAAAATGGAAGCACACGGCATACGTATTGTTGAGATTGATGGAGTTTCTATTTTAACACACGACGGAAATATTCTTAACCCGTTTTCCGAGAGATTTACGCAGAGATATTTAACGAATATTGTAGGTTGTTCCAGCCTCCGTGAAGACATTCTATCAACAATCAATAACCACTTCGACAACCACTCAAAAGACCATTATGCACGCAAAAGTGTTGTATCTGTCGGTTCCTCGTCTGAAATAGCAGGAATCAAGGAATCTAAACTAAATGTGTGCAAAATTTGCTTTAACCATTGTGCCCAGGACTACATCAATCAGCATCTCAGAAAAGAGCATGGCATTAGGAGGAATTTCCAACAGCACGTCTTCAGAACAACCGGGTATACAATTCCCAACCAAAAGTGCGGCTTTTCCTATTTATACCGCGAGAAAGAAAGCACCAAACCACCAACGTCCATGACAACCATCGAAGGTCCGCATACACATCGCCGACACGAGGACAAGTTTCTCCGCACAATCAACGCGGACTTATATTATGGAAAGGGGTACCCGCAGTATCTATACGGCGAAAACAAGGAAGAGAGCATACCCGTTTTTGAGACTGTCAAGAAGTATATTCTCCAAGACAGACCGCATTTGAAGGGCACGCATCCTATTTACAACCGGATGTTGCGAGAGGGTATATTAAAGGTGCCAGTTCTATTTACGACACAGGTGATATATGCAAACTACGCCAGTCGCTTTTTCTACACGTTTGCAAAGTTATGCGATAACCGAATCATCGAGGAAGTGGTGACGAATCCCACGGACGAAGTGGTGAAGCGAGCGGTGATGGAGACGATCGAGAGGCATATTGTGGTGGAAGAAGACAAAACGGAAAAGTTTATGAAAGCCGTGATTATCTCGTTGATGCTTCCCGATGACAGGTTTGCGCAGTCGAAGGTGCGGGCCAAAATCCTCGATGGCATCAACTATTTCTTGAAGTTAGCCATATCAGACTATATGTTGATGAGAAACAACGCCAAGGAGATTATAAAAAACTGGGAGAATCTAGCATACCAGGCATTTGAGTCCACACGGTCATACAACCATAAATTCAATAGGACGTTGCCGGCTTTCCAGACGATAGTCGACCAGCAGAATAACCGAAAGGTGATGATCGGGTCGGTTAGGTTCAGCACTCCTGACCTCGGCAAGTTGGTTAGATGTTTGGTTCGGGAGTACCATACCACGGTTCGAAACTTGCTACCGGACGGGATGTTGATGGTGGACGAGGTATACGAGGAGTTTCGAAAGCACGCAAAAGATATGTTCAGCTGCACGGATTTAGGGTATAGTGTTTTCTATGGAACCAACGAACTCAACAAGCTCTCGTATCAGCAGCGACGTACGTACGCGGAAGCCATCGGTGATAAATGGAAGGATCAAAAATATATGAGAAGCAAGTTTGACCAGTTCACCAGGCTCAACTTGAATCTCTTTGTGTGCATCTTGATCACCTGTGGCAGTCCATTCCGGGTGACGGAATTGCTCACGTTGACGTTTGCCAACCCGATGGATTTGGTGCGTACGATGTATTATTCCAACGGGCATATTCAAATTAATCTTCTCTATAATAAGAATACGCATAGCAGTATGCGATATTCGAACCATACCAAGATGTTGCCGATTGAGGTTTCCAAAATAGTGGTCCATTACGTCTCTATCATCAAATATTTGGAGGTTGCAATCGTGGAGGAGCATGGATGGGCAAAGTCCAAAAGCGATATGAGCGTGTCTGACAATTGGGAAGACGACGATGAATTTGACGAGACGGACGGAAGTGATCTGGAAGACGAGGCCAGCTTGTTGGCGCCCAGGGCGTTAACGAAGAAAGATGAGATAAAGACGCTCTTGTTCATGTATAAGCTCGGGCCGAGAAACGGGGGCCAGGTGTTCAAGTATTTGGAGCTGGTGAGCGAAAAGTATATCAAGGAGAAGTATACGCCCAGAATTTTACGGCAGGCGTTGGTCTATTTTACGCGGACGCTCTTGGGAGAAGCAAAGCACCAGGGAGTTGGGATCCTTAATCGGATTGATTCCATTGCAGGGCATAGGTCAGAGACCGCCGATTTGCAATACGGAGTTACGCATAGCAATATGTATCTTCCTAGCGCGGCCAGAAATAATATCGATATCCAAATCTCATTTGCATGGCATAAGATCTTGGAGTTGGAAGATAAGGAGGTGAAGGACGAGCCTGGCCCCAGCAATAGGCAGGAGTTGAAGAAGCTTCTTTCGATGGTTGACGAGGGCAAAGAAGAAATAGAAGAAGTTGGACGAAGGCTATATGGTAATTTCAAGTTTGGATCGATGAGCCAGGTGCATACGGTGTACGACGCATTTCATAGCGTTAAGGATCTTATGGTGATTAGTCCGACGGGATCGGGTAAGAGCAATGCATATAAGATGCCTATTTTGATGGAGAGGAAGTTGCAGCTTCCGTTTGTCAGTTTCATCATCTGTCCTTTCATCAGTTTGCTTGAAGACGTAAAGGTAAAGTTGAAGGAACTCGGGGAGCTAGAGGTGGAGATATTCGATAGCGATATGGTTCACGAATATTATAACAATTGTGATATAATTGTGCTTCAGTTGGAGAAGGTGCTGGATGCAGCCGGGCTAGTCCGATATTTTGAGGCGGGATCGGTCTTTCGAAGACTACGGCTGCTAATCATGGATGAGGCCCATGCATTGATTGAGCATCGGGAGTTTCGAGGCCCGTCTGTTTTGCGGGTGCGCGATGTATTTGGGGAAAATATTCCCAAGCTATTTCTAACGGCGACGTTTCCCAAGGCCATGGAAAGGGAATTATGCCCGATGTTTGGTATATCGGATTGGCGCGTGCATCGTGAAGAGACGATCAGAAAGAATATTGAGCATGTTGTTGTACGGGAGCATGTCATGAAAGCGTGATGCATATGACGTGCTCTCTTAGTCCGCTTCTCCACGCCATTCTAATGTTGCTATTTTTTTCCAAGAAGAATGCCAGATCCATGCTCCAGGAAGAGCTTCTGCTGCCCATGATCAGTGATATCATGATGGGGAGGATAAGCAAGCTCCTTGATGATAGGAATAGAGAATATCAGGTCAAGGTATTCCGGAAGTTGATGGATGGGAGTTTGACGAAGCGGGAGTTTTTTCCTTGGAAGAAAGAGTCAAAGGCCAAGTTCCAGCAGTATCTCGAGAAAGACCACATCACGCCGGAGGATCTCGTATATAGGCCAAGGGGAGGTAGCAACGAAATAAATCGGGTGGCGATTGCGAGGTTGGTGAAAGATAGTGTTTTCCGATTCCAGGAGACGAATGGAGATTATATCAAAGGCAATTGCTATGGATGCTGGGGAAGATTTAATCATAAGAAGGGAGATCCTCGATGCCGTAAAGGAATGGTTGCGGAAATATTGATCCATTCGTATTTCGAGGTGGCGCTGTTGGAGATGTATCTTTTGGAGAAGAGATTGGCGATGCGAATGCCCACGGTAAGCCATGTTGTTGATTTGATGGTGCATTGTTCGCCGGATCGAGCGCCATTATTCGTAGATTATGTTGCGTGGTTATTGTATCTATATGAGCGGATGAGGTAGGCTCATGATTGAAAATTATAGAATATGACGGTAGTTTAAAGAGTTTGTAGATGACGAAAGAGATGTTTGTTTTTAGCAATAAAAGCCCGAAATAAGTTAATAGATGGAGCGGTTGGAAGAAAGTAGTAATATTTGCAGGATTGTATAGTGTTGTTTAAGAAAAAAGTGAAATCTAAAGAGGGAAGTTTTTGTAAAGTAGGAGAAAATAGGATATAATTGGAGTATTTGGGGTAAGAGGAGTATCATGTAGGAAGGAGAATGCTATATTCTATAGGGAGAAGATTTTATATTGAATAATTAGGATAAGTCGCGGTGATTTTGTGTAATAATAAGAAAAGGAATTGAGAGCGAGAGTGAGGATTGTGAATATAATCAGGTGATATGAATCATGTGCGTATATAGCTGCTATATGAGTGCATGCGAGAGAAGCGAGAAGTAGCAGAAATGATATTGAGTCCGATAGAATTGATATTGCGCGGGTAGAGCGATGTTTTAATTGAAATGTATTTACGGCGTTGCGATGATATCGTTATGTTAATGGCGTCGTGATGAGGTTGAGGATAAATTATTGTTTAGGATTATTTTAATATTTGATTGAATCGATTGTGGTTGAAAAGAGAAATAATTGTTATGGGTGATGGTAAGCCGTCGCGTGAGCGTTATGGTGGTGGAGATGTTTGAATTGTTGGGAATATTAGGCGATAAGATGATTAATTTTAGAGGTTGATGGATTATTTAGGCGAGTTGAGCTAGTCGCATTGGCGTATTGAAGAGAAGATGAATGATTATGGATGATAATCGGGGAATTAGAAGGAGAATATATGATTTGGTTAGTTGATTGAGAGGTGATTAAGCGTTTTTTATGGAGAGATAATTAAAGGGGTTTTATAGTGGGATTATAAAGCGTTATTTAATTGAATGCGTATAAATAAGGATGATTAGATTATTTGAAAGATGTAAGATTAGAAAGATAGTGGTTATCGTGAATAATTTTATTGGGATAAAAGATGTTAATGATTATTGAATTGTTGATATGAAAGGAATGCGATTAGAAAAATATGGATTATATTATTATGTTGGTGAATGTGGGGAGAAGTTTAGTTTAGTATGGATATGGAGTGAAGGAGTATTGATTAATATAGGAAGAGTTTTTAATATTGAATTGAAATTATAATTTGAAAGGAAGTATGATAATTGTATGAAAGGGAGTATGAGATGAAAATGAAGAGGTAATATGTTATGAGTTAAATATGAGGGTGTTGGATTAAATGTATGAATTTTTAGATTATTGAATAGTTGATTATGAGTTGAGATTTATGGTGTGGAATAAGAGGGGTTGATATCGTAGTGAGGGTTGAGAGATGTGATGAAAATATTGATGTTTAGAGGGGGAATTTATATTGAAGGGTTGAGCTTATGAGCTTTATTAATAATGAGAGAAATATGGGTGTAAAAGATATTAAAAAGGTGAATAATATATATAGTTGATGATATGATATATTTGGGAGAAATGAATGATTTATTTAGGCAGATATGGGATAATGAGTAAAATTGAATTAATAAAGAAGATTATGTGATAGAATAGGATATAGGTAATGAGTTTATCGATAATTATTGGTGTTGGGGTGATAAGGTTGATTGTTTGGGAGGCGTGAGGGATAATAGTTGGTAGAGGAGATGTGAAGGGATTGAATATTTTAGGTGTGGATAATAATAAGGATGAGTAGATTATGTAAGAGGAAGATATATTTAGAGAATACAAGAGTAATATGAATGGGTTGTTGAGATCCTAGTGAAGTAATAGGGCTTATTTTAATTTTATAATTTTGTATTGATATTTATGGCGTTGTGATGGAGTTGGGTTATATTGGAATATAAAAGATTAAGTATTGTTGATGAGGTTTAGTATTTGAAGAGAGTTGAAAGAATAAAGGAGGATATTAGGGTAAAGAAGGTTAATGGGAAGAAGAAGAAAATCTTGGATTTGAAATATGGCGTTATATGATAAAACGTGAGTTTGGTTCAGAGAACAAACCAATCGTATACTAGCCTCGAAAAATTATCTACTCAATTTTCATACCACTCAATTGGAAATAATGCTTAACAAAAACCGAAATATATCAGTAAGAATTTATGACTTTGGGGTTGCTTAAGAATTACTGTAAATATTCAAGTTTTCATGATTTGATTTTGCGTAGAAAAGAACATTTTCACAAAGGGAAATTTCAACCGATCTTTCAATTCTTGTGATACGGCTTGTTCGAAGTAATGTCTACAATTATTTTCACCGAGTAATAATTTTAAATCAAGAAAATTTCAGAAATAATAGTATGTAAACTAAAAGTAATGAGAAAATTAAATTTTATATTCGGCCTTTGCCACATAGGGCTCCTCTAACAGATAAATTTCACTTTCAGTTAATTCCATACTCAATGCTTTCATAAAGTCATCGACTCGTTCCACAGAGTTAACACCCACTATTGGATTGGCACCTTTACTTAAAACCCATCTTGTAGCTACAGCAGCCATGCTTACCTTATATTTTTCTGCCAATTTTTGGACCCGGGTTACAATCTCCTTGTCTGAATCAGTTGGCTTGTCTAATCCTTTTTTAGAAAAGATTGCGTCGGTTGTCAGTCTTTTAGTTCCATCAGAAGACAATGGGCGCGCGAGAAGACCACTCGCAATAGGCGAATAAGGAATTACTCCAATTTTCCCAAAATCATTTTCTTTGCAGAAAGGAATCATTTCACGCTCTTCCTCACGGTACACAAGGTTGTAGTAATTTTGCATACTGATGAACTTTGCCCAGTTATTTTTCTCAGCAATAAATTGCAATTGTGCAAATTCGAAAGCTTTCATTGAAGATGCTCCTAAATATCTTACCTGCCCTGATTCGACCACATCATTCAATGCTTTCATAATCTCGTTCTTGGGGGTACTACGGTCTAACCTGTGTATTTGTAATATGTCAATATAAGTCCCTAAATTCTTAATAGAGTGTTCAACAGCATCAAGGATATGCTTTCTAGACAAGCCTTGAGAATTCACATAGTTAATCTCAGGGTAAGCTTCAGTGCCATATTTGAACATATTAAAATCAGGATCATTATAGTCCATAGTACCCCAAACTTTTGTCAAGATAACAATTCTTTCCCTTGGTATGCTGTATTTCTTTATAAATTTACCCAAAAAAATTTCGGATGCACCATTCGAATACACATCAGCGGTGTCAAACGTCCTTAAGCCGTTATCGTAACACTTTTTCAAAATTTCCATAACGGTCTCTTCTTCCGTAATACCCCAATTTTGGAAATCTCCAAAAGTCATACAACCTATGATAATAGGGGAAATAGATAATCCCGAGGCACCTAGTTTCTGATATTCGACTTTGCTCATTATATTTTTTTTAATATATTGTATTGTCCGATTTCAAATCATAAAATCATAAAATCATATCATGAGATTATGATTTTATATAGTCTAGTATGGAGATAGTGGAATTATCGCAAACAGCGGATTTAAAGCAGAGCAATTAAAGACAGGACTGGAATGATTATCCCCTGCACTTAGAGATTGCGCGTTTTTACCATAGTTTAGGTGCAGACCCGTTCGGTTACAATGTCGCGAGTGCAATGTCGCAAATGTTTTGTTAAACTATTTAAAAGAGACGGTGGGGAGAGTAGAAAAAAAAAATGGAAGAGGTTCGCACACGTTAATTGTTGTAGGCACTTCGAGTTAAGTTAAGTAGTCAACTATACCCTGCAATTGAGTGGAAACGCGATAAGCCCATACAAAAACTGGAATCCTGGTTTTGTTTACTTTTGAGGGAACCATGATGTAGTGGCTCCTCCTTAATCAAAACAAATAAACATAAACTTAGATAATATGCAATTATGTAATAAATAAACAAGAAAAAGTTTTTATGGACGTCTTTAAAAGATTTCTTTACTCTAACTGAATGCTGGACTGAAATTATCTATTTCCTTAACCGATTTTGGAAGATTAATTGTTTCTTGCTACCACTTGGACATTAATTGCTGGTCCTCAACAATACGTTGTCATATTCTCTGCTATTAGTTTTCTTATATCTATTTAGAGCTACACTTGATCCATGTCCTGCCTGCATTTCCAAAAATCCATAGATAAAGAATGAGATTAATTTGCTGCTGCTAGAGACATTCTTCTTGACAAATTGTTCCACGATCTGTCTCTTGTCTCTTATACCCAACCTTTTCTTAATGAATTTGGTACTCATTGCCATAAAAGGCGCATACATATCTTCTTGTTGTACAATACCGCTTCCAATATCAATAAATAAATATCTGGCATCTTTCTTTAGCTTCTCAATTTTTCTTTATTTTTTTTGTTTTGCTTCAATTGCTCAATCAACCTGAGCTAATAATATCGTATATAATTTACGTAAAAAAAATCAATCTTTGAAATGATCAAAGGATACCTTTTTGATAAAATCTTCGTGCTGTTGCTAATGTTATCAGTTTTATCATAAGTATAGATACATACTATCTTTCCTCCGCGAAAGAATATATACCTCTTTGTATCAATTCTAGAACCTCAATCATTCGGAACGGAAGGCCACCAGTAAAGAAACTTACTAAAATGATGATTTTGTTTAATTTGAAAAGGTTAAACAAAGAACTCTTCTTAGGTCGTCAAGGGAATCAAAGCGTTTAAACGGAAGGCATACCCTGTAAGTATGAAGAGGCATAAATCAAGAAGTTGCATAACAAAATTCCAGATTGTAATTTTTTTCAATAAAATCTNACAACCCAAAATTGTGTATTAACAATCAATAACCACTTCGATAACCACTCAAAAGACCATTGTGTACGAAAAATGGTTATTTCCATCAATTACGACTCAGAAATAACAGGAGTCAAGGAATCTAAACTTAATCAAGATTTGCTTTAAATCTTGCTCACTGAACTACATTAATCAACATCTCAAGAAACAGCATAGCGTTAAGAGAAATTTCCAACGGCACGTCTTCAGAACAACAGGGTATGCAATNCCCAACCAAAAGTGCGGCTTTTCCTATTTATACCGCGAAAAAGTCGACGCCAAGCCACCAACGTCATGACAACCATTGAAGGTTCGCAATACTCCAGAACCTTCATTAAACATGGGATATAGAAATTATATGAGGTTTATTTGTGTTATAATGATGGTTGTAGAAATATTAGTAAAAGACATTGTCCCTAATTAATTCTGTCGCAACCTGCCGTTTTGGGTGCGAATTTTTTTTTTCCATGTCTTTTTTATGGTGATCAATGGTTTTTCCAAGAGATATTCACTGCTTGAGCCATCTCTAATGCGCCGAGATCCGGGTTCCCTGTAAGCCCCAAAGCCTAGCTAGCACCCGCCTGCATTCTCAGCATTCTCCCCTCCTCTTGAAGCAGGCTTGTTTTTTTCCTTAAATTGAATTCTTTTCAGTAAAGTATCAATCAACAATCCAGTGTGTGTCCGTTCTTGATACTTTCCATACTGAAAGAGATTCTGGAAAGTTACGGAGGGGGAGTGGTACTGGAACCCCGGCATTAATACGACATGCTACGTACATTACGTAGTCAACGCCTCCAATTTGTTCCCACGATATAGGGGAAACAAGGAAAAAGTTTCCAATCCGCACGGTCGAACTTAAAAAAAGTGGCAACCCGATCCAAAAATATAGGCTTATTTATAATATATGCTCGCTCACAAAAAAAAGTAACAACCCGGTATATCGGACTTCTAACCTGGTAACACATTTATCATTCGTCGACGTATTGAAGATATCTTCATTAAAAATGTAGATTAAAGTACCAACTGCATTAGCCATGTTCCAAAGTTGGATACACATCCTTGTTCATTTTCGCTTTGACTAAATCTTTCTCGCCATATGTATTGTTGCTTTCGAAATAAGCGAGCTTTAAAAAGCCAAGTACAGGTTCATGTGTATCTAGGCCTAGGGTAATAGTATAGATGACAGAATCCATACAATATGGCAATATTGACAACATAAAATAAAACAATCAATACCTGATAGTTCAATACGTATAGTTGTAGAGTGAAATGTAATAGGTTGCAAGAATTGAAAATAAGCTATAGTATTAATCATGTAGTATAGGTTTTCTTCTCAGTATTTATCAGTATACCTGCAAGATGGACACAATTATTGAAGCTCTCAATCTTTTTTTGAAAAAATTGTGATAAGGAAATTTGGTCCGATGTATATCATCCATTTAGAAGTATGTATTAGACTATTACTCGTATGCTAGATCAAAATATATCTTTCAATTGTCTCCCCGTCACATCTCGCTTCACCACGAGATTGGTAGGATTGGTCACGACTCCCTAGACTATTAGATTATTCCAGAACTCGGCAAACGTATAGAAAAACTGACTTACATAGTTGCATAAATCACCTGAGTGGGATATAGAATACCCACATTCTAACCGCTCTCATCATCGGGTTGTAAATAGGATGTTATCCTTTCAAATGGTGTCTCTCTTGTAGAATATACTTCTTGACAGCTTCAGACACCGGTATTCTCTCGTTCTTATTTTCGCTCCAAAGATACTGGGTTATTATTTTATTATGCCCAGAGATTACCTTCTTGTCTGAGATGGGTATTTGGACCGTAATTGGATGTCATATGAGAGGGGGAGTAATTTTTGACTTCTTTCGTCTTTCGGTATAGATAAGATAAGTAGCCTTATGATTAGGAGTTATTTATCTTGCCTTACTTTGAAATTGCACTACAAATGGAGGTTATTTTATAATAGCATCTAAAGTTCTAATATTTCTCACTTAACGGGAAGGATTACAATATGTATACGTAGATTTTACAATTTTTGGTGGCCCCTATTATTTTCGCACTAGACCTTCTACATTTATTGCTGCAATGACCATTTTACAATAGCTTTCATAAACTATCCTCTCTCGGTTCCTGGAACTGCATATATTCCCCGCTGTTCTTAAATCTCTTTCATATCGGGAAAGTAGTCCAAGATAGACGCTATTTTGTAAAAGAACCATATTAAAAGAAAGGAAAGGAAAGGAAATTGAGACCTTTTCAAGAAAAGGCAATAGAAAAAGAGTAAACGTCAGATGGTTGATTACTTTGGGTGACTAGCCGGGGGGGACTGCTGGAGCCGTGGCCAACTGCCACCAAAAAAAAAGGTCCCCAATGAAAGTGGTAATCGTACCCGATATGGTCCTGAAGGACAAATTTCGGGAATTCACATGCTCCAACCTGTCAATCTGCACATACTTAAACATCCTGAAGTCTATAACCTGTGACACACGAAAAGGCATATCAAAAATTGGCTAATTCTTGTATTGAATATGTAAACAAATTATTTACTACACTAACACAGAGAAATCATGTTTTATCATCTGCAGTATTACTTAACTCATTAATCTTGACATCAATTTTTTTCGTGATGTTGGCATTTCGAGAACCCCACAAAATCACAGTAGTTCCTTCAATGAGAATTCTGAAACAAATATTTCTTTTATGCTAATTTTATTCGATTTCCTATAAATTGATGGAGTCTCACAAGAACAAAACAAATACCGATTCATCACAATTAATTACGATGAACGACAATACTTTTCGTAATAATATTAGGAGATATATTTTAGGAGATGATGAGGATACTGGTATGGATATTGACATAGATATTGATAAATTTGAGATTACGAAATTCGACTACAGAAGTATTTTCGGCAAGAGTGAGCACCAAAATATAAGTCATTTAGAAATGGTATCTAAATTTTTCAGAATTAATAAGAAATCTGAAATGAATATGGTCACCTTAAAGCACAAGTTGTATTTTGACGATCATCCAGATGAGTGGAAAGAATTATTTATTTTCTTTTGCGTTATGCCATTCACGGAGTACGAATTCCAAGGCAAAGGTGGAAGTTTGATAAATCCTGATTCACTTCATATTGCTTGTCCGAGTGATGCTACTGACAACCTTCTAATTGGAACCTTTTCAGATATAGAGTTTGAATCATTCAATGAGGAGATTCCGGAAAGCAGATTCGCAGCTAATTTGCAATGTATTTTGAGAACCGACCTATTCTCTAATACTTTTAGCGAAGATCAAAGAAAAAAAGTAATTACAAATTTGCTCTATGTTGGGTTTCAATCAAAGCATAAACTTGTTAAACATATTGGGTCGAAGGCTGAAGCAACTTACAGAGATAATTTTCTGAAATATTTGTTTACACCCCTAAGTGAATATCTTGCAGCTTTATTAGGCTTTTTAGTAGAAGTTGAAGAGAAAAATACAGACGGTCAGACAGGAGTGCAAACTAGAGTGCCTCACACAACAAATGATTTATTTTATTCGCACCCGGATATTGTGGCTTATACAGAGAAAATACATTACCGATCATTAGCTATTGTAGAGGTCAAAAAATTACCACTTTTAAAGGGTGACAAAGTGATAGACTTTTATGACTCAAAAATGGTTAGATTCTTCGTTCAACTTGTCGCAGAAATGCTTTCTAACCACATCAATAAAGGCATGCTAACTGATTCTTATACAACAATATTGGTTGAAATAGATATCGACAGGAGTTTGGAGGCAATCAAGCATAGTACAGGCCTTCTGGATGCCGGCAAGCCCATAGCTCTCAATTATAAAATATTGGATTGTCCCTCGTCTGGACTTACCTTGAGGGGTGGACTCATTTCATTTATCTATGAGGCATTCAAGACCGATGGAACTCAACTAAATGAGATTAAGAGGGGACTAGATAGAATCTATAAGTATATTCGTAAGACAAACGAAGAGTACTTGATTTATATTGATGGACTAGCCGACAAATATGAAGCAGCTTATAGAAATTTCTGTATCGATGCTTATAGGGCTAAAGAGCAACGCCTTTACCTTTCTGATACAAGTATTAGTCTTGAAGAGTTTGACAAAATTGATGTGCAAAGTGGGTTTAGCTTCAATTCTCAACTTTTCAAAGTGGATATTAAAGAGGTAAAAGATTATTTAAGAGAAAATATTGGGATAGACGACAAATTGATTGTTAAGGTCTTTGATCCAATCAAGGCCAAGAGAAAACACGATAGTTATACGGTCGACAAGACTGATATTTTCAGCAAATGTCGAAGAGCATATCTGTGTGAGAAGACAGCCTATGAAAAGCTAATAACTAATCTCAAGTTTAACGGCATCTACATTGATCAGAAGTGTGTTTTTGGTAAGTTCAATATCGGCGAGCACTACCACGCTTTGGGTCCATTTCTCATACTAAAGTATTTGGGCAAAACCGAATGTCCATTGGACGAGAAAACTTATAAAAAGGCTGAAGAGCAATTAGAAATAATCCACTATAATCAGATAATACACGGGGATATTAATTTGAGAAATATTCTCTATTGCGATGGGAAAGTCTATTTTATCGATTTTGGGTATTCAAATTATGATGATAACAAAGAAAAGCGCTCTAGGCCTGTAAGTGCTAATGATGAGACTAAGAAAAGTGAACACAGAGAATTGTGCAGAGTATTTGGACAGCCTATTCCAGAAAAATATAGATTGAGAGATCCAAGATGAGCAATAATTATAGAGAGAAATAACAATCAAAATATTTGGCTAGTATAAGTAGTCGACTATACCCTGGAATTGGGTGGAGCGCGACAAGCCAATACAAAAACTGGAAGCGTGGTTTTGTTGACTTTTGAGGAGCCATAAACCGAAACAAACAAACAAATAAACAAACAAGTACTTACATAATATAGGATTATTGTATTGAAAAGTTTTTAGGGACGTCTAAAAGATTTCATTACGCTCTAACTGAATGTCAGTTTTGAAATTATCTATTTTCTTAACCGATGTTGGAAGATTAATTATTGCGTGCCACCGTTTGAACTTATGAAGTAAAGCTGTTGGAACTTTGAAAGATCTTTTTGAGAGCGGAACCTCGACAGTGCGAAAAAAAATGGGCCATACAAAATTTCTAAATGTACATTTTAAGACTGGAACCATTCCTCCGATTTATGAATTAGAGCCTGTATTTTAGTATTTCAATAATGTAGAGTATATTCCATGAAAAATAGGTCTTTTCAAAAGCTTTTCCTCAAAGTAGAAATTTTAGTTTTCATTTTTCTTAGATTTTCGCATAAAAAAAAAGGGATATCATAGACTGAGAGAAATATTTCGCAAATTTTAAAAATAATTCTGTGCTAGATGTTATTGAAAATGAATTTGGAAAACCAACATATTTAGCTTTCTAATGGCAACAAACTTGCCAATAGCATTGAAATTTCTACATTTCTACTTCAAATAAACGGTCATTGAAAATGGGAATATGGATATTGCTTTCGAAGACATCAAACAAAGCTAACAAAATGGTGGCTTCAATATCCTATCTTTTAAAATTAAATGGATTCTTGGGGTGGGTACTTCAAGCAGTCAGTCAAAGGTATGATGGAGGCATAATGGAAGGCTTCAAAACAGCCAAATTGGACAAGCTATTCCAACAATCCTCATGGAAGTAAATGAAGTACGAGGAAAAAAGGCCCGAAAATTGGTTCATTATGTGTTGTTCCCGGTATTGCATTAACTGATGTTATATCTTCAAGTCTTGTTCGAGGGGATGGGGTTATTCTAGCAATTATTAGAGGCTGGTGGCGCCGCAAATTTTGAAAAATTTCTAGGGTCAAGAATGTAATTGGGGTGGTGATATCGTTCTAACCTTTCTATTACTGATACAAGTATCTTACTCAACTCATAGACCAGCAATTACGAGTTCGATGCAAGCAAGTTATGTATTAAGTCATTTTTAGCTAATAAATAGTTAACAGAGAAAGTGTGGAAGTGCTAGGGAGTTGAAAAATGAAAGTGAGAGTTGTAAGGCATTAGGCAAGCTCCAGTTGCGTGAATGCCTATACTGAGAAGGGAAAAACAAGCAGAACAATTTTGTCGAATCTTTAGTCAAATAATACCTGGCAAATATCAAGATTCAAATGAATACGCTAAAAAAATAGCTTCTAGGTATGCATTATCTTTGTGATGATTTTGAAGCAATATCTTCTATCGTTATTTGGGTACCAAAAGTTCCTGAACTCCCTTCATCAAATACTTCTTCACTAGAAGAATTACTATCATTTCCATATTTGTCATCTTCGTCTGCTTTATCAGCAAGTATAGCTTCGCTTTTAGCATTAACTCGATTGGCATGCTTATAACTTTCATTAGAACCATTCACTCTCAATATGTAGTCAAGAGTCTCAAAATCATTCTTCTTGTGTTCTTCATTATTTGTGCAGTCCGATAATCCAAAATCTATCAAAGATATTTTACCAGAAACAGAAACATGAATGTTGGCTAGCCTAACATCATTATGCGAAATCCCTATCAGATGAAGCTCTTCGAGTCTTGACTTGATAACCCTGTACACTTTTTTGTTATCCCACTTTTCTTCTGGGACCTCCTTCCCTAGGTATTCAAATATATGCATCGGATGATCGGAAAGCCCGTTCCAGTAACCAGAAACAAGGAGCTTTGGAAAATTGGAGGCGAATTCTGACTTAGCAATTCTTTCATTAATTAAAAGCTCATTGAAAAACATACCATAGTACCCTTCTTTTTCCGGTATCTCCAAATACATAAAACTATTCTTTTCCCACAACCGACTAGAGTAGTAGTATAATTTGACAAAAACTGGCGATGGAAGTTTCAAATCAGGATAAAATTCTGCAGAATCGTATATAACTCGGCAATATGTGTTGCCATCAATGGCATCAAAGTTATCACTGTCGTCGTTTTCTTTTACCGGGTCTAAGCTGCCTGAAAATCCATGTCCAGCCAATTCTTTCGAAGATCCAGAAGGATCTCTAGGACGAACGTTAAAGAATGGATCCAGTTCTTTAAAATGCTTTATTTCGGTTTTTCTGGCAACACTAAAATTTTCCATCAACCTGGCCTTTGTATCAGCTGCATCACCAACACTTTTATAGAAAAATCCGGCTATTGCTGACCTCAAAGTAATGCCATGCTCCACAGTTTCTGGATCATTAATGATATAGTAGTCTATAGACATCCTGTCATCCACAATTTCATATTGAAAGAACCCTGAGAATGTTTGATGATCTGAAATAAAAATCCTGTCGGTTCCACAGAGGAAAGCTTGGTATATATACTTTCTTAAAACCAAAGCAAATAATACCCTAGGCGTCCACTCCCTATCTGGAAAAAAGTTCCCATTGGATTGCAGCCTCAATCTTCTTCGGTTCAGCACATTTTCGATTTGACTTTCTATAGCTGCCTTCAAATCTTCAAATCCTTCTGTCATCTTATAGACTGCCGTTTTGTAATCACCTATCCCAAATACAATTTCGGGAGATTGTATACCCGAATCCGATCTATTTATCATATGAATAATATCAGGTTGCATTGTTCTTCGTTGATCCAATGGGGGTCTTATAATAGGTGGACTGCCAAAATAGTTGTCTGTATCACCAACGTCCTGAAAAAAATCATGAAGTGGACCAGCTATTCTTCCATTAAAGTATTCTTGGATAGCTTGCTCCCTATGCATTGCATCTCCAAATGGATACTTATATGCTGGCGCTAAAAGCGGAATTGAAAAGTTCGATTCCCTAATAGCATGATCGAGCGGAGCAAGGAACCTTTCCTTGAATTCATCACTACTCATCTCCCTGAATTCAGCTGTAATCAATGCACGGCTAGTATACACAGCAATAGGTATAGAAGGCCTATTCCCTAGACCCACAGATGCATTACCCTTAGACACTAGTTTCTCTGTACGATCTTCATGCCCATCTTCATTACCTCGAATCCTTAAAAAGTGAGTGTCCAAAAAGACCCTTGTGTTTTGTTCATAGTTGTTGAGAACTCTAATAAATAGATCAAGGTTTACCCTAATGCAGTCCTTGCTAGGATCATCGATAGTGATAGAATCACTATCTATCCCAGAAAAGTACATACACGGCATTATGTTATAGATATTGAATATGGTATTTATTGTTATCCCTTTAATGTTCGAACAGGGTTACCCTTCCTTGGTATTGCTTATGTAATTTTGAGATTCATTACATAATGAATGTCTGCTCGTCTTAACAGAAGTTTCGTTTGTGTTCGCTTCGTAAATGAGATGGTAGTTGCTAATATTTGCAGGTTACACCGAGTGGTATTGTCACGCTTAGATTATATATAACAGAATTTAACATGATGGACATACCTGTTTTCTATCTTCAATTAAGTCCACCTCCACCACTATGTCGCTGTCTCCTCTACGTTATTTGCAATATTAGTGAGCTCGTTAACGTTGTAGTAAATCTTAGTAATGTTTACAATTTATAAGAACCCCGATGGAAGGTGAAACAAGTATTGTTTTATGCTAACTTCATTTAATTTTCTATATATTGAGAAGCCCCACAAGAAAGGATAACGAAATTTTTGTTCAATTCAACTATTTATAATGAAAAATGATACTTTTTACTAATAATGTTAGGATATATATTTTGGAAAGGATGAGGATACTGATATTGACATTGATAATGACATTGATAATGACATTGATAAATTTGATATTTGTTCTGTTAGGCAATACCACAACTTACAAATTGTGGCCTTCAATGCGTATGCGGTAAAGTCGCACTGTAGGATTGCAGGTTACACAGAATGATACCGTCATCTATTTGATCAATCTATGAATATATAAATAGGCTAGGCCACCTTAGAATGCATATCGAAATTGTTTATTCAATTATCTGTCTTCTTTTATCTTCCGCTATATCAATATCTTTCTTCATCTGCGGTATTTCTTAACTCATTACAACATCAATTTTTTTCCGACCGCTTTAATTAGTGACAACCAAACCAATCTTAATACTGATGTTCGCATTGCGAGAACCCCTCAAAATCACAATACTTCCTTCAATGAGAATTCTGAAACAAATATTTCTTTTATGCTAACTTTAATTAATTTCTATAAATTGAGGATATACCACAAGAAAAATGAAATTTTTGTTCACATCAATTTAGTCACGATGAATAACAACACTTTTTCTAATAGTATTAGAAGATATATTTTGGAAGGCGACAATGAAGACAAGGACATGGATATTGATGTTGATGCTGGTATTGATCTGGGAAAAAAGAGTGGAAAAAATAACAATCTGTGTTCCAATTTTCCAACATTCAATTCCTTGGATACAGCCGTTATGTCACTAGCGAATACATTTTGGTTAGAGTGACTCGCTCTGTATCTAGCAATCAGGAGGGGTCCGTTATATTAAAATTAGAAACTGCTAGTCCTGGAGATTACTTTCTGATCGATGATGAGAATATTGCGGAAGACATAGTTCATAGTATAGTTGAGCCTAATGATACGCCAAGTGTTTATTCATCAAAAAGATAGTTGCAAGGCCTCGGTACAAATCAGACATGAGAATATTTTTAATTCCCAAGATTGAAGTCTGTTCCCTATATGTTGACGAGCGTATGCTTGGAAGGGATCTCATGAATGGAGTCATAGATTTAAATCCATCACCTTGAGCCCGAAAAGTTTTTTTGCACGTTTAATCCCGAACAACCCTCCCTTTGTATCAATCGCATTAACATCATTCTTATAGAAAAATCCGGCTATTGCAGACCTCAAAGTGATGCCATGCTCCACAGTTTATGCACCATTAATGACACAGTAGTATATGAACATCTTGCCATTCATAATTTCATACTTAAAGAACTCTGAAAATGTTTGGTGGTCTGAAGTAAGAATCCTATCGGTTCCACAGAGGAAAACTTGGTAGATGTATTTGCCTAGAGCCAACTCAAGTAATACTATAGGCAACCACTCCCTATCTGGAAAGAAGATCCCAATTGAATTCAGTCTCAACCTTCTTCGGTTCAGAATAGCTGTTTTGAATTCTTCGAAGCCTTGCGTCATTTTATATATTCCCGTTTTGTAATCGCCTATCCCAAAAACAATTTCCGGATATTGCATATCTGAATCAGACTCGTTTTTCATGTGAATGATATCAGGTTGTATCATTCTTTTTTGATCTAATGGAGATCTTCTAATAGATGGACTGCCAAAGTAATTGACCATATCACCAACATGACGAAAAAGAGCCTTAAATGTTGGAGTTATCCTTTCATTAAAGTATTCTTGGATAGCTTGTTCCACTTGCATTGTATTTCCCATGGAGAACGATACTTTTTGGATAAGTAACCATCACTAAGATTCGATTCTTTAAGATCATGATGAAACGGAGCAAGGTACCTATCCTTGAAGTCATCACTATGAATGAAATGGAAAAATAAATAGTATTATTACTATGATACTGAATTCAGTAATAATACTGAATTCAGTCCGAGTGCGATTATAGTAATTTTAGTACTATTATTTAATGTTAAATTGGGGATTTTGTTAAAGTTATTCATTTAGTGTTCAATTAAATTAATGCAGCCAAAAATTATTCTGAATAAAATCTGGTATAACTGCTTTCATATCAGAAGTTTTGCTTCCAATAATTCTATTTTAATCCTCATTATTTGCTCTCAATATTTTTGCTCTCAATATTTTTGCCCTCAATATAGGTTTTGGTATGAATATAAATATGAATAATTCCTTCTGATATCACAGATATATTAAATTATGCATAATCAGTAATCACAAGAATTAGAATGCAAGACCAAACTGAATTAAACAAAACAATAGTCAGTGAATATTTCGCTGAGTATTGGGGAAAGGGCAATGTGGATATAGTAGACAAGTTATGTGCCAACGACTATTTGATTCATTACCCAATGCATGGCCCAAGATATGGTAGAGAAGCATCCAAAAAAATGCTTTCCGAGTTTAGAGAGGCTTTTCCAGACCTTTCATTTGTTGCCTATGGTGCTCCCTTGATAGCCGAAGGTGATTACGTTATTGGACGTTGGATTGGAGGTGGAACACACATAGGTACATCGTTTGCTGATTTGGCTGTTGGGAGCTTGGATCAGCCAAACACTGGAAAAAAAATATATTTCTCAGGTACATCAATTTTCAAATTGAAGGACGGTAAGATTATTTCAGAGATAGGCGAGGAAGGAGCTTTGACAGCCTTACAGCAGTTAGGCTTAATTCAACAACCTAACAAAGGGAAGGAAGTTAAATATGATGAAGAAATTTTATAGTTAATGGATATATTGCGGTCATATTTAGTAGGAGAAATAATAATTGACGTTCAGAACTATAAACAATTAAATAAAGTATCATCATATATGCATTTCTCACGGTAAACGGTAATATTCTCACCATCAATGACGTTGACAATGAGAAACTTGTGGTGGCGATGCAGGAGTCACACAGAAGAACTTTGATAAGAATGTCCGAAAGTGAATCGTCATTATAAAACAGCCTTGTTCTCCGTAGAAAGAGACTCAACATCCTCTTCGATAGTACTTAAGAAGTTCCCATAAGGGTCAACAAACTACTGACGCAACCTCAGCTTGTTCCAGACCTGGCCCAAATATGGGACGAACCAAGCACACAGGCGATTGACGGTGGTAGATAATTGGCATTCGTACCTTGGCCGTAGCCACCAAATGGCCCTGTGTGTGAAATGGTCTCGTAGACCAGGCTTACATTTCGAGATCAGCACTCACGCTTTTCATGCTATGGAACTGGATGCACCGCACCTCACCTTGCAATTTATACGCAATGATTTTCATTTATTCGACAGTATCAATGTCGCGTAATTCTTTTTGATCATCTTCCGATATGGCATTACTGACTCATATTTTGCCCTATGGCATTGATACATATCATACAATTAAATGCTTACATTATTTATTTACTGATTCATAGTTATTAGGTTTCAAACCACATTTATTTCTAATAAAATAAATGACTACTTGTAAAATAAGTAACGAAACGAATATATAAAGAACAGACTCTTTCTACGATTTATAAATAAAACATTAAAACAATATAAAATGAACCGTGGAGAAGGATTAAGATTAAGAACGGTTTATCAGGCAAATATACTGGAGTTGGAGAAAAGAATAGAGGATAAGAGCAAGATTCGGAAAGAAAATTATCCGCCAGAAGAGGCAGAAGAGTGATCAAGCTATACTTACAGATGTCAGGCAAATTGAAGAATTAGTCTCCAATCTTAATCTGACTAATTCTCAGTTATGTTCAATTTTGGCATTTGTAAAACTCCTCAATCAATGACAGCAGCGTCGGCGGAGAGAAGTGACTAAACCGGCATGCCAGCTATATAACGGTTTACACTACATATGAACATGTATTCTAGAAAAGAGATTAAATACACCTCAGCCGCTTCAGTAAAGGAATATCCATGGCAGATGAGATATCCTTTTTATTAGTAATCTTCATTGTTACAACCGCAAAATTTATATATTAACAACATTCAATAACACGTTACGAAGTGAGAGTATTGTCGCACTTGAAAGACTACCCGTTTTTTGTCATAGTAAAAGAGCACCCCGTTGGGTGCAATGTCGTAAAAGTTTTTTTAAATAGTAAAACTATACGAAAAAAGTTGAAGAGAATTATACTTATAGTTCTTTGCCAAACTTACAACTACTAATGACTCAATTCACAACTTTTTGCTAGCTGTGTAACATAAACTCCTACCACACCTGCTCCTCTCCTAATAAGAGTGCAGAGTTTTTCTATCAATCCGACTTTAAAATTATTATAGCAATCCTCCGCCGCAAACAAAGGCAACACCGACAAGTTCTAGTTGATATATGCTAAATACTGCAATTTAGTAGGAACGCGACAAATGGAACCAAAGATTGTTTACTTTATCAAAGCGCCATGATATCATTGTACATTTATAAATATTAACAAATAAACATCGAATTCTTGAAATTTTTCTTTACACCCTAATCGAATGCTAGGTTTAATTACCTATGTGTCTAATCGATGTTCAAAGATCAATTATTTCATACCAGTGTTCAGACAATAATTGCTGTGCTTCAACAATACTGTTGTCATATTCTCTGATATTCGTCTTCTATAACTATTAAGCGCCGGGGTTGCTGCCCTCCCTGCATTTCTAAGAACCTATAGATAAAATACGAGTTTGAACTGCTAGTATTTGAAGAATTCTTCTTAACAAATTATTACATGATTTGTTTCCAATCATGTTATATCAATCGATTCCTATTGAATCTAGTACCCAATGTCATTAAGGGTAAGTACATATTTTTCAGTTGCACAAAACCACTGCCCATAAATATCTGAATGATCTTCGATCAAACATACCTTACCTATGGAGAGAAATTAATCAATCGTCAAATCTATTGCCAGAGATCATTTTGAAAGATTCTCTATTTTCTCAAATTGCATGCCAGTCTCCAAGTTTCTGTTTTTCTGAAAAAATATTTTGCATTTGCTCTCAGGTTTTCTTATTATTTCTTAATTAGGCACGTTTATTAGTGTTTACAATTGAAGTTGCTATTCAACCATCAGTAATATGTTCAGTTATTACTTAAAAATCAGAGTCATTCAGGTTGGTTTGCTCGCATCCGGCTACCTCACTTTGCATAAATTGCCTTAATAAATAAATATAAAAGGAGTATTATTTTGTTCAAAGTCAAATACTCAATGTTCACAAGAATGTACTTTTCAGGTAAAGATATCAACTCTATCATAGTTAAGAAACCAGAAGGGAAAGAAATTGAGATAAACAGAAATTTATTCGACAATTTATATCATCTGGGTGATAAGGAGCAATGTCTAAGAGTATTATTGGATACCCCATTATTAAAGTTTGAAAAATATAAAGATAAAAAAAGGCGAGTATTAAGAAATTTAGTATCAGAAGATGATGAAGATAATGATGGGCCAATGTATTCTGGAAGGATGCCATTTATGCCAGCCTATGTTTATATCACAAATTTAGTGATGAGAGCCAAGTTTAGAGAAATAAGTATTCTGGAGTTCAAAACCAATTATCTTGCTCCTCTTGATAGTTCTATCAAAGAATCGAAACGTAATCTTTTTCCTTCCTTAGAGGAACATTTTCGGTCACCGTGGGGAAATACTTGGAATACTAAACATTATATCAAGCAACATTTTGATGGAAATATAGTTTCAACAATCGAGCGTCTTTATCACGCTATAAATGGTTATTACGATATATTTGGATATTCCTATATTATAAAAGCTGTCTTTAATGAAGATCAAAGACTTCGAACTGATATTATGCATTGTAGGAATAATAAATCTACATATAACCCAGAAATATGTTTTGCATTAGGTAGCTATAAATCAGAGAATTATTATTTATGCCAAGGCTTTGATGATTTCAAATCAGCCATAAAAAATGCAACTAGACCAATTGAATACATTTTTCCAGGACGAGAATGGAGTCCCAGGGTAGTGTTTGCTCTAACACTTCGAAGATTAATTTATGAGGCTTTCCTTTGTGGTACTGATAGAGTTTTTATCTCAGATTACGAAACTTTTTCGGGATTTTTCAAATATGAAATCGTTGATGATCAAATGGAAATAGACTACTATATTATAACTGATCCAGAAACGATCTTGGGGGGTGTCACTTTAAGAGCTGCTATAGCTGGATTTTTTTTCAAGACTGAGAAGGAAGCACTCAATACCAGGAAAGTACTAGCAAACTCTTTCCAGGTGGCTTGCAGTACTAAAGGATTTGATCCGCTTTTGAATGTACTTCCCAGGCCTGTTCAACTATCAAGTAAGCTTTCAATCGTTGAACTTCACAATTTTAAAATAATTGAAGAAATAAATACTTTTGATATTTTTAGGATAATTACAGACGAACCGTATTGGCGAATAATAGAAAATGCTGTAAAATGGTATCCTACTTTGGGATTCAAACTTCCATACAGAGTGGTAGTTAAATTATATCACTATTCGACGTTGTTCTACGAAGATAAAAACAATGACTTGTTATGGTTTAGCATTCCCGATAGAAGTGAATATTATGAATGGTTTTACAATGAACTTGTAATTAATGAAAAAATTGCGAAATCACAGTTTGCTTCCAAATTTCCCAAACTTCTTGTTTCTGGTTATTGGAATGGCCTTCCCGACCATCCGATGCATATACTTGAATCACCAGGACCAGGAATGTTGGAAGAAAAATGGGATAAGAAAGAAGTGCACCGAATTGTCAAGTTGAGGCTTGAGGAACTCCATCTGTTAGGAATCTCTCATAATGATATTAGACTCTGTAACATACATGTATCTGAGTCAGGTAAAATTTCCTTGATAAATTTTGAACTGTCGGACAGCTCGGATAATGAGAAACATAAAAAAAGAGACTTTGAATGTCTTGATGACATATTGAGGATAAATGATTTTAGTGGAAATTAACAGTCAAGGAATCAAACAGTATTTAATAAAACTAAATACTGAAACCTTGCTAATTTTGAAAGATGTAGGAATTTCTCTTTTGAGGAAGAGTATAATTATGAAATCAAACCTTTCGATAGAGAACAACAAACATAAATAGCTATTATGAATATGTGAACTGCTATTTGGATATTTCTTAAAGTATCACCAATTCCAAATATACATTCTTATCACAATAGTCACGAAAAGATAGTTCTTATAGTAGCCATTGCTTTAATTATCCTTGAAATATTTTTAAACATTAAATTAAATTCTTAATACATAGTCAGGCCTCCTGAACATACCTACTATACCCTGCAAATGGGTGCGTCCTGGTAAATCCTATACAAAATGTGCACTCCGTGTTTTGTTTACTTTTACCGGGAGCCATGATGTCATGGCGCTTTTCTAAATCAAAACAAAAACATAATCATAATTGTTGTATTACATAAGAGACAATCATAGTATTATATAAAAAGAGAATAGCCTCACTTTTTCTTCATATGCAAACAGCAAATGGTCTACTAACCCCTCATCTCCCTTTTTAATCTATTCACAACCCATTCAGTCCACTCATTTTTAAAAGATCTCCTTCGGCTCAAACTGGACTTTGGGTTCAAAATCTTCTATTTCTCTGATGGAGGAAGGAAGATTAATAATGTCGTGCCACCGCTCGGACATCATTTGTTGTGCCTCAACAATACTGTTGTCATATTCTCTGCTGTTGGTCTTCTCATAACTATTGAGTGCAACTACAGGTCCATGCCCTGCTTGCATTTCTAAGAATTTATAGATAAATGTCGAACTTAATTTACTGGTGCTTGACACATTCTTCTTAACAAACTGCACCATGATCTGCCTCCAATCTCTTATTCCCAACCTTTTCTTGAAGAATATCGTACTCATTGACATGAAAAGAGCATACATATCTTCTTGTTGAACGATCCCGCTTCCAATATCAACAAATAAGTATCTAGTGCATCTTTCTTGTAACTTCTCCCATTTTTCTTTATTTCTGTCTATTTGCTTCAATTGTTCCATTACTTTGAGCTCATAATATCTAATATAATTAATGTAGAAGAAGACAACCTTAGAGACAATAATGGGATATCCTCTTGATATTAGTTTACTCTTGTTGCTAACATTATCTGTTTTGTTATAGGTATATGTGCACAACATTTTCCCTCCGCGGAAAAATATATTTCTCTTTACGTCATTGAATTGTAACACGAGAACCTCGGTCATTCTGAATGGAAGACCTCCTGTGAAGTACATCATTAAAATGATGATTTTATTTAGTTTAAAAAAATTGAAACAAAGAGCTTTTTTCAAATTATCAGGTGAATCAAAATTAACAAACGGAAGCTGTGTTCTGTAGGCGTGGAGAGGCATAAAACACGATGTTGCTGAATAAAATTCCAGATCGTAGTTTTCCTCAATAAAATCTAGCAAGTTGAACCCTGGTGATAATATTGGTGTTAATGTATTACAGAATCTTCTCACAAGAAAAATAACAAATTCCGGTATATCTGATAAATGAATTTCAGTGTCTCGGTATAACATGGTAGAGTATTTTCTTGTGAAGAATACATCATAGTAATTAGAAGCAATTGTTCTAAATTCAAAGAGTTTGCATTTCATGATTTTTAGAAGTTTATAAACAGTGGTGTAATCTTCACTAGCTTTGAAGCGGGCCTTGTATTCTTTTTCTAAATTCTTTTGATTTTCGTGACAGTAATTAATTAATTCTAATTTCATTACAAATTGTGTTGCATCAAATAAATGCTGAATGCCACTTTCATCACGTAAACTAAAATTCACTGGTTCGAGGTGATTAATCCACAATGCAACTATAAATGGTGAACTAACAAATTTAAATCCAACGGGATTTATTTTGGTGAAGATTAAGTGATTATCAACGTAGTTTGTTATCACTTCAATGCTATCAATAGACTCAATGTTTTCATCAATGTTTTGTAATTTGAAATAACCTAGTTCTTGTAGTTTGAACATTGTATACAAGATTTTAAATACTATATTTGTATACATTGTAACCGTTTGTTGCCGAACATTACGGAATTTTCTAAATAAACTGTGACCAACCTGGTGGTCTTTTTTAGCAAATTCACTAATTTTTCCCATCCGATCCACCAAAGCCTGTCTTAATTCGTGAACCGTTTCTGACTCTTGAGATAACTGTAATAATAGTGATCCGAAATCCTTTCGATACTTATCAAGTATATTTTCTTTAAAATTAACATCTTCCAAATACTTATTCCCCCCTAGAATATATTCAGTCAATTCCCTTGTTAGCTGGGGTTTATTTAATTTGTTAACAATTGAACTAGGTATGTCTGGAAATTCATGAGAACTGATTATTTTGATATATGACAGACTAATCTTATGGCCTTGGACAGTTACGAAATGACATCTGTTACTGCATACTTCCTTTGTGGATGGCTTAAAATGTTTAACATGATGCAATCGTTTTGAAAGCATCGAACAATCTGGACAATGTTTGAGGGTGTAAAGCGTTGCATGTTGAATTGGTCTTGTCAAGAAACCACTACGAACTCCAGTGTAATTCTTATCACCAATAATTTTCAGTATCCTGAGTCTAGTGGATTCATTCTTCAATACCCTTGTGGTCGAATTCAATTCTATATACCACTTATTTGATCTATGAATATCGAGTATAGATCCTGTATTGGATTTAACTACAATTTTAGCCCAGTTATCAAAGCGGTAACCATTAACGGCTAGTAATTCTTCTATTGCCTTTTCTTCATCCTCAGGAGATAGGTGTTCTGTGTATGTCCCCGTTTCTGTCCTTGGAGGTGGTGATATAGAATTTCTTCTATTTCTATTGACTAATTCCTTTACGGCTTTATCAGGCTCCTCGGCTGTTTGTATATTTTCGTAATCCAGGTTATTTTCATTTTCATTTTCTTGCATTTCTTCATATTCTTGCATTTCCTCCATTTCTATGTTGTTGTCGCTTTCATTTCCCACTTCATTTACGTTTGCAATGTTAGGCTGGCTATCAATATCTATCATATTGTTATACATATTATTATCTGCAGAAATGTGTGCTAATACCTCGGTCTTAAAATTTTCAGATTCAACGTCATATTCATTAGAAGAGTCATTCGAAGATGAGTCTGCAGCTATGGTAGCCTGGGAGTCCATAAGCATATTCTCGTTCTTCGCTCTAAAATTCCAACCTACTGTTCTTTCAGATACTAAATTCTCAATTCTACTATTATCGCCTTCTTTATCTCGACTATTGTCACTTATATTATCATCAATATGATGCCGTACTTCAAAATTTTGATCTGGCAATAAAGCTGGTTGCTCAATCTCTGGAGAAAGTATTTGAAACGCTCCTTTCAATTCTTTGTTATTATTCAATTCCTTGGTAATTTTCTTTTGTTTCCGCTTTCTGTGACGACATTTTCGACAAGTCTTCATCTGACTAGCCGTTTTCTTTTCTTTTCCACAACTACTGCATATCATCATGTTGATTCAAGTTATATTACACACTTTAACAAAATATAATATTTTTAGTTGAATTTTTTATTTGTTTTACCTTTCAAATATCTCGTTACCTGTTACAAAAAAAAAAAAAAATAAACAATCGAAATTGAAGTTGTTTAATGAAAAAGCATTGTTAAGTAACTATCATGCGTGGCTGGTATATAGACATGTACAATGTCGTCCTAGTTCGATTCGTGGATGCGAGTTGGGCCTAAAACGAAGAACATTTCAATGCGGGTTATATATGAAAAAACTACACTGTTGACTTACACAAAAATATGCGCGACAATAGAAAACTGCAGTGTTGATAATTAGACTTCAATACGATTCACATTTCTTATATTGGACCTCATGGTCTGAGGCTGATATATAGCATATAAAAGGCCGAATACTACCCGAACACGAAAAAAAACAGTGGTAATGTAGAAATCTTGTTTTTGTCAAGTTGTAACCATTTCAAATCTCAGTTAATTTATAAATATATTCCATTATCTTCCAGATTGAACAAAAATAATAAAGTTGTTTTATTCCAATGAAATTTTCTCAAAATACTATATATTATATAAATTATTGAAATAAGGAGACTATCAGTTTATATCTCCAAAGTTAATGCTGTTATAAGTGTTGCAATTATCAGGTTAGTTTCTTGTTAAATCGCACACATAGACTAATAATAGGTGGGCGTGNACACAGTATACTCGCTTGTCTCTGAGTCGCTCACATATAACCTCAAAGTGTGCATATAAGGTTAATTTTCGTCGAACAAAAGTTGATGTGCTGTTCTTTAACAAAAAATAATTATCTATGTACCTAATCAAGCATGGAGCTGCATGGAATAAGAGTTGTTGCCGTGGAAGATGTTTCAGTATTTATTTTTCGGGCCAAAATTATAAATCCCTTATCAAACAAATTCATTACTCAATTTTTACCTCAAATCATTCCCATCACTGAAGAAAGACAAGCAGTATTAGGCGAAATCAAAAACCATTTCAAATCTCATTCAAAAGAGCACTACTTGAGAAAACGTATTATACCCATTGGTGACTCAGAAATTCCTGAAGTCAAGGAGTGTAAGCTAAATATCTGTACCCTTTGTTTTGACCATTGTTCTAAGCGTCACATCAACGAGCATCTTAAAAAGGTTCATCATATATATAATAAGTTTCTCCAGCACACATTAGCTACACTGGGGTATGTGATTCCCAACCAGAACAGAACTATGTCCTATCTCTATCGCAAAACGGTATTTTCGGCTGAACCTATTGATATGCTTGACTTGGGTAGTTCCGTTCCCAAAGATAACAGTGAGGATAAGTTTTTGCGGTATATTCACGCCGAGGACTACGAAGGAAAGGGGTATGCCCAATATCTTGCAGGCGAGAACGAAATGGAAAGCGGTCCAGTTATTGCAGCGATCGAGACATATATGATGAAAAGAAGGGACCACATGAGAGCCAGCCACAGCATATTCAGTAAAATGAGTGCAATGAAAATATTGAAGCCAAAATACTTGTATCCGACAAGAGTGTTATATGCAAAGTTGGCCGGCCGGTTTTTCTATACGTTTGCAAAGTATAGCGGTAATGCCACAATCGAAGAGGTTATTCATAGACCAACGCCACTGCTGGTCGAACAAGCCATGCATATCATGATGCAGACCTACGTTCTAGTTGCCAGGGATCCAAGCGAGAAATTCTTGCAAGCCGTATTTATATCATTGATGGTTGCAGATGATACGTTTGCTGAATCAACTGTCCGAGCAAAAACATTCGACGCTATCAACTATTGTCTCAAGTTAGCCGCCTCTGATTATATATGGCCGCCAACAACAATGTAACTGATGTTTTACTGGCATGGTACGAGACAGTGTACTCCGAGTTTGAGCACTACAGAAGTGTTCACCATAGGTTTAACATGACTATTCCAGCTTTTAAAACAAGAGTAGATGAAATNGATATCCGGAAAGCAACTATTGGGGCAGTCAAGTTTAGTATCGATGATCTCAGCAAGTTGGTTCGATGTTTAGTTAGAGACTACCACAGGCAGGTTGAAGCCTTACTTCCGAGAGGCGTAATTATGGTTGACGCCTTTTACGAAGAGTTCAAACGGAATGCGGTAGAGTTATTCAACTGTAAGGATAGAGGGTACAGTGTGTTTTTTGGAACACCAGCTATTAACGACAGAGCGGCCAAATGTCTATTTCGGTTTAGGGATGCCTTAGGAGAGCTCTGGGATAATGCTGAATACATGAAAATCATATTGAACAAATTAATGAAGTTGAATTTAAATATATTGATATGCATTATGATAACTTGCGGGAGTCCCTTTCGAATATCCGAGCTCTATACTTTGACTTTTGCCAATACCGTAAGTATGGCTCGGNCGATGTATTTTTNAAACGGACTCATCCAATTGAATATACATTACAACAAAACTACCCACAACACGTTGAAGTATTCCAATCATACGAAGGTATTGCCAGAAGAGGTATCAAAGATTGTGATTCATTATGTTTCAGTGGTGAGATATTTGGAGATTGCCATTTCCGAGAGACATGGAACGGACGAGATATCAAGGAAATTCAGCGAACCCTCATACCTGGAGGACACAGACAATGACGAGTCGGATAAAGACAACAACGAAAAAAGTATAAATGCGATGGAGAATCAGTCAAGAAAGGCTATGTTTCGAACACTAGTATTCCTATCCCCATTAGGTTTGAGAAAAGGTGGACAGGCATTTGCATTTCTAGAACGAGTAAGCGAAAAGTATGTAGGTGAACGGTACACCTCACGACTTTTGCGTCAAGCACTAGTACACTTCACGAGGTTGCTTTTAGCTGAGAGCAAATTTCGTGATACGGGATTTCTCCATCGTATAGATAGGCTCGCAGGTCATTCGACAACCACGGCCGATATGCAATATGGAGTGACACATACGAATTCGATGCTACCAAGCGTTCCTGTCAATAATATTGATATTCGTATTGCTTTGGAATGGCATAGAATATTAGGTTTAGGAGAAAAGGATGTAAAACCCCTTTAACAGAAAGAAAACCGGGTGTTATTGAAGGAGATTATGTCGCAGTATTATATTGGGCGCGAAGAAATATACGCCATAGGACAGCGTCTTTATAAAAATTTCAGTATTGGCACGTTGGAGCATTCGCATATGTTGTATGATGCATGTAATTCTGTGAGTGATATATTGGTAGTTAGTCCCACGGGGTCGGGGAAGAGCAATGCATTCAAATTTCCAATTTTGGCGGAAAAAAAGCTAAATCTTCCGTTCGTTAGCTTCATTATAAGTCCATTTATCGGTTTGCTTGAGGATATGAAAGAAAAGTTTTCTGATTTGCAAGAGCTAGCAGTAGAGATTTTTGACTCTGAAAAGGAATATGAGTATTATACTACGTGCGACGTTATCATCGTTCAGTTGGAAAAAGTGAAGGAGGCAGAGGGTCTAGTGCGGTATTTGCATCTGGAAAAAGTCTTCAAATATATCAGACGGTTGGTTTTAGACGAGGCGCATATTATAATGGAGCATAGACCATTTCGTGCGGCGAGCATCATGAAAATCGTAGAGATTTTTGGAAATGATATCCCCAAGCTATTTCTTTCTGCAACTTTTCCCAGACTGTTTGAATCCAGAATATGCAGAATGTTTGAAATAAAGGATTGGAGAGTTCATCGTGGGGAGACGATCCGTAGGAATATCGGCCATATTGTTGTGCATGATATGTTTGATGTGACGAGGGCGGTGAAGCAGATATACGAATCCGAAATAAAACCCAACCAAACGAAAGGAATTGTGTTTGTATATAAACGTAAGTTGGGGATAGAGTTGGCTCAGGATTTGAAGTGGTTGTTATTCCATGGAAATATGTTGTCAGAAGAAAAGGGCAAGGCGTATAGGGAATTTGCCAAGCTCGAAGAAGGTATGATAATTGCAACGTCTGCGTTTAGTCACGGAGTAGATTTAAGAGGAATCAGCCATGTAATAACGGTCGGCCAAATTATTAATATTATGGATTTCCAGCAAGTAGTGGGTCGTATGTGGCGGGGCGAGCCAGATAAGATTGGCCGATCATATATTTTGTTGCTGCCGGGCAAGAAGCATGAGTCTATAACGCCATCAGTATGTGTTAATGGAGCTTTGTCTAGTCATTTAGATGGAAAAGAAGAGGAGAATTGTAGGTCCCTAGGTTGTGTAAGCTGTTCTGTATGTGATGAGTCCAAAAGAATCGATGTTGGTGCTTTCACCCACGATTCATTAAATTCAGATGAAGAAATGGAAGTCGAAGTGATAGAAGTTGAGNATTCCGGGGCTGAATTATCTGAATTGCAAGTGAACTTTCGAGAGTGCCAGTTTAATATCCTCAAATTATATGGATTGATGCCTAAAAAAGAGCAGGTTGCCGATTCATTAGGAGTGTATACCAATGTATTCTTCTCGACGGTCATCAATCATGGCCTTATTATAGATTCAGCAGTTTGCCATGGTTGTCTATTATCTAATTTTCATGCTCATAGACTAGAACCGAGCCATAAATCGCTGAAATCTATTCAGTGTTCGTTGACGCCGCTTCTTCATGCCTTTGTCATATTTGTTCTATGCGAGAATGATAATGGAAAGGCCCATTTGGAAAGCATGATGATGTCACCCAATCTCAGTAGCATTGTGATCAGAGGATTTGAAGATCTTATCTTAGATCTGGGTGGAAAGTATGCAAATATGGCCAGAAGCTTGATGAGTGGTTCAGCTATTGAAAGAAATCATTTGAAATTTAGTTGGGAGAAAGTGCGTAAGGCCAGTGCTTATTTAAAGAATCCTTCAGCTGATGAGGTCCAATTAGTTTACGGATCAAATGAGGCGGTGTCCGAGCTTAGTAGAGTCACGCTTGACGCATTGGAAATAGCATGCCGATTTCGGTTTAAATCTATAAATGGGGATAAGGTGCGTGGTTTCTGTTATGGATGCTGGGGTCGGGNGTTTCATGAAGATCCAAATGATTGTCATAGAGGATTAATGGCAAGAATATTAATTCATTCTTATTATGAAGAGTTGCTGTTGAAAAAGTATTGTATTGAGAGATGCTTAAGGCTTGAGTATCCTAGTGTATGCCATCTAGTGGATCTTATGGCTTTCCGGGAAGAAGATAATTTGCCGCTATTCTATGATTATGTAGATTGGTTGTTGGGCCGAATGGAGGATAAGGGTGTATTGTGTCTGTGATATTTATATATTGTTTTGTCGGTAAGCGTTTAGATATTCGTTTTGTGTTTTAGTTAGGGAATTTGTGTAGTGATTAGAATATGAGCTAAAGCGTTGGCATGGCTCAAAATTTAAAATTAATCGAAATGCGAATTTTGGATAAATTGTAGAATAGAATATGGAAATATGATGGGATAAATGTTGAAAAAGTGGTCGGAGTGATTGAAAAAGCTTGTTTTAGCAATGAGAGGCCGAAATAAGTTAATAGATGGAGCGGTTGGAAGAAAGTAATATTTGCAGGATTATATAGTGTTGGTTAATTTTGAGAAAAAAGTGAAATCTAAAATGAGCAGTTTTTGTAAAGTAGGAGAAAATAGGATATAATTGGAGTATTTGGGGTAAGAGGAGTATTATATAGGAAGGAGAATGCCATATTCAATAGGGAGAAGATTTTATATTGAATAATTAGGATAAGTCGTGGTGATTTTGTGTAATAATAAGATAATAAGAAACGGAATTGAGAGCGAGAGTGAGAATTGTGAATATAATCAGGTGATATGAATCATGTGCGTATATAGCTGCGATATGAATGCGAAGCGAGAAGTAGCAGAAATGATATTGCGCGGGTAGAGCGATGTTTTAATTGAAATGTATTTAGGGCGTTGCGATGATGTCGATATGTTAATGGCGTCGTGATGAGGTGTAGGATAAATTATTGTTTAAAAAATTCAGTATTTGTGTAAATATAAATAAATTTATAAAAAGATATCGAATAGTCTGTCTAGTGAGGGTTGAGAGATGTGAGAGATGTGATGAAAATATTGATGTTTAGAGGGGGAATTTATATTGAAGGGTTGAGCTTATGAGCTTTATTAATAATGAGAGAAATATGGGCGTAAAGATATTAAAAAGGTGAATAATATATATAGTTGATGATATGATATATTTGGGAGAAATGAATGATTTATTTTAGGCAGATAAGGGATAATGAGTAAAATTGAATTAATAAAGAAGATTATTTAATAGAATTGGATATAGGTAATGAGATAATATGAGAATGTAGTGTAGGATGTTGAAAAATGGAAGTTTATCGATAATTATTGGTGATGGGGTGATAAGGTTGATTGTTTGGGAGGGGTGAGGGATGATAGTTGATAGAGAAGATATGAAGGGATTGAATATTTTAGGTGTGGATAATAATAAGGATGAGTAGATTATGTAAGAGGAATATATATTTAGAGAATAGAAGAGTAATATGAATGGGTTGTTGAGAGCTTAGTGAAGTAATAGGGCTTATTATTTTAATTTTATATTGATATTTATGGCGTTGTGATGGAGTTGGGTTATATTGATATTTATGGCGTTATGATGGAGTTGGGTTATATTGGAATATAAAAGATTAAGTATTGTTGATGAGGTTTAGTATTTGAAGAGAGTTGAAAGAATAAAGGAGGATATTAGGGTAAAGAAGGTTAATGGGAAGAAGAAGAAAATATTGGATTTTAAATTTGGCGTTATATAGTTTTGAGATTATAAATAGTAAGAGAGAAGTAT